GGGGGGGGGCGGGTTGTGAGTCAGCAGGGGACTCTGGCGTCTGAGTCAGCAGTGGGATTGGGAAGGGGGTAGGGACCCTTCTCTTGATGCAAAAGGTGAAACTGAGGCATGCCAAGTGGATAGGGAAGCTGGCCCCAGCCCCACTGATCTGCAGCAGGAGTGGAAGCCAGGTGTTCTTCCCTTGCTCTAGAGCCCTGAGCAACGGCATCAGTTCTCCCTCTGCACATCACCTGAGGCCAGAGATTAATTCACGTCCAGGGCCCAAGGACTGTGGCATTTTCCCAGGGGCACCCTGCCCTTTTTCCAGAGGACAGAAAGCAGGGAGGTGGGTTTTTGCCCTGCCCTCCTGGGAAGCCCCCAGCCTGCTGTGCAGAGGCCTCTCCAGGAGGGAGGATTGCATCCCCTTCCCCATTCCTGGGCTTCTCAGCCCCAGACTGGAGGCCTAGAGACTCTGCCTGGCCTGAGGGGCAAAGAGAAGTCAGTCTTCTTCCCCTGAGCGGTCATTGGTCAAAGCTGGGGACTGCCCAGTGGGCCCTATTTGGCACTGGCTCTGGCTTATGCCCCATGCCCAGGTCAGTGAATTCCTCTAGGCCTGGATCCTCATCCCTGTGAGGTTCTACCCCTGGGTTGGGGAGGAGATGGGGCAGCTGAGTGCTCAGCTGGAGTGCTGAAGACAGGGCACTGCCCTGGGGTGTAGGTGTCCCGCCCTCCGCTGTCTCCAGTGTGTATGCAGGCTGACCAATGACAGGCCTTACTCCTGTGAATGCGCAGGCCCCCTAGCCTCACCCTGCAGCCAGGGACTGCTAGCATCACAGAGATCAAGCCCCCAGAGGGATGGGGGGAGGGGCTAATGGCATTTGCTATAACTCTCTGATAAGAAAACAGCCCAGAATCAACACCCACCCTGCCTCTCCGAAGCCAGTGTCTGTTTTCATTTGGGATTTGGGACTATGTCAATAGGTGCAGTGAATAGCTGCCCAGAAGCCTCTCTACAGCCTGTGTTTGGGTCAACCATAACTGCCACAGGAGCCTGAGAATACGACCGCTCTAAGTCTGCCTAAAGGGGCCCAGGTGGCCTGACAGCTTGCGACTCCCCAAGAGGGTGGGGGGCACCTCTGCAGGAGGCTCTTCTGCTCCAGCCCTGAGGGTGGAGACAAGGAAGGGCCACATCTGGTGAGGAGTGGAGCAGAAGGGTGACATCATTTTCCAGTGGTTGTGGCATCAGGGCCGGCAGATGGGGAAGTGAATCCTCTTCAAGCCCAGAGGCAGGGCCATTCCACTGGGCTCTAGGAGGGACCTCATGCCCAGGTCAATTCTCATGGACTGTTTCCCCGGCCCACTTCATTTGGGGGGCACTCTACTCCGCTGCCCCCCCCCATTTCTTGTATTTATTTTTGGCTCTGTTGGGTCTTCGTTGCTGCGTGCGGGCTTTCTCTAGTTGCGGTGCGTGGGCTTCTCACTGCAGTGGCTTGTTGCAGAGCACGGGCTGTAGGTGCTCGGGCTTCAGGAGTTGTCGCTCGCGGGATCTAGAGCGCAGGCTCAGTAGTTGTGGCGCACGGACTTAGCTGCTCCGCGGCACGTGGGATCTTCCCGGACCAAGGCTCATACCCGTGTCCCCTGCATCGGCAGGTGGATTCTTAAGCACTGCGCCACCTGGGAAGCCCTGCCCATCCCCACCCCCCTTTCTTAGCTGTAGAACAGAGGCCAGGCTTAGGCAGGAAATCTTGAGACAGGGTTCTTTAGCAGGAGTAAGAAAGAGAAAAATAAATAAACCTCATAAAGTCAGGAGAGAAAATGGTGCTGACCTTGTCAGGACAGCCTGAGCTGGGGCACATGCTGGGAAGGCCCAGGCCTAGGAAAAGGGGTGGCTGGGCTCTGGCTGGGGGAGCGCACGAAAGGCCATCCTTCTTCCCTCACCCCCAGCCCCAGTTGTCTCAGTGGCCTGAGGGCCACACAGCTGAGGCAGCTTTTCCACATCAGCCTCCCATCCCCCAAAGGCAGGAGGCAGGGAAGTCACCTTAGCCTGGGATCCTGGGAGCAGCTGTCCCCAGGGAGCTGGAATGAGGTGCTGGACTCTGTATCAGGGAGCTGACAATGAGGCCAACTCAGGGCAAGCCCGAGATGGGGCCTAGAAGCCAGGGTGAGCTGCCCGCCTTATGGCAGGAGAGTTTGGAGTTTGGACCTGCTTGAACTACAGGTGATGGGGTAGAGGTTCCAGGTGGCCAGGCCTAACCCTCCAGGTGAGGAAACTGAGTCTAGAGTGGCACACTAAGAAATGCAGAGTGGGGCCAGGGCCCCATTTCATGCCTCCAAGTTCATATTCTTTTGCCCTCAACAAACATGTGACAGACGCTTGTTCAGAGGGGAAGTGGAAGCAGGAGGGGCAGGGTGTTGGACAGAGAGGACCTCAGACCCCAGATGGGCCCCAGCTGGCCTGCTTCCTGCCTCCTACTTAGCCTGGCTGTTGAGAAAGGGGCTCCAGTGTCCAAGGGAGTTCCAGCTTCCCGCAGCTTCACGGTGCTGGGGCCCTTTCCTCGAAGGGGAATGGACTCACGTCCCAGAGAAGGGTGAATGTCTTTGCAGAACATCCCAAGGGCATGGGGGCATCGGAGGAGGCTCTCCTGGGCATCTGTCTTCTCTGTGAGTGCATCCTGCTCACACAGCTCTCTGGAGACCCTGCAGGGCCTCTCAGGCTTGTCCTCCTCCACAGAGGGCAAGCAGGCCCTGAGGTAGGTCCTCACCGACTCCTTCACTTCCACCTCCAGGCCCTTCATCTTGGCCTCGTACTGTGCCAGCGCCTCCTGCTGGAACTGTGGGGACAGCAAGGACCACCCCCTGGCTCAGGATGGGCCACCTGCCCACTCTTCCTCTCCTGAACAGTGGAACCAGGAGATGCCTGGTTTGTTCAGACCTCCCAGGAGATCAGGGTGGGAGGTGGGGGTAGTGGAGCCCATCAGGGGGTCTTTCAGGAGAGGAAATGCCAACCAAGCAAAGAGATCTGCAGAGCTGCCTCATGATCCCCTGGGAATCAGAGCCCTGACCCCCTGGAGAGGGGTGAGTCCCCCACCACCACCCACCTCTTGACTGGCAGCTCCCCGGAGCTGGGTCCCTTTACACCCTGGAGCCAGGCCAGCTCTGCTGTGGGCCAGGGTAGTGGTCCCCCCATCACCTGCTTTTCCATCTCCCGGATCTGTTCCAGGCAGGCTGCCTGCTTCTCTTCCAGCTTCTCCTGGTGATTCTCCAGGTTCTCCGTCATCTGGGCAGGAGTGAGAGACAGAGAATCAGGACAGCATAGGCAGGCAATCTGGGGTGAAATCCAGCTACAATCCCAGTCAACCAGCTGTAAGCCTTTGGACAAATTCCTTAACCTTTGAAAAGTTGGGTTTTTTGTTTTGTTTTGTTTTTTAATTTGTAAAATGAGGATAATAGTACCTGTCTTGCTGGATTTTGAAGGATTATATGAGACAGTTCATGTGAAGCACCCGGCTTAGTGCCTGCACAAGGTCAGGACTCAGGAGCTGGTAGCTCTGTTACTGTTGTTAGTAATCCCCAGGGAGCTTTAGGGCCATTCTCCACAGGGCTTTCCTTCCTCTTCTGACTCCCTGGAAGCCTAACTCTGGAAGACCCCTTGCTCCCTCTTACCCACCCACCCCAATACCACCTCCCCTTGGCCAGCTGGCCCATATCATTTCCATCGAGGGCAGCTGGCCAAAGACAGACTCCTTTAGGCTGGTATCCCAACCTCTGCACAAAGGTCAGAACCCTGGATGGCCTAGGGGAAGCCCCTCCCCTCTACTGCCTCTCCCCCCATCCCTAGCTGTTGGGCCACTCTAAACAGTGCATCTCCTAAGGGCAAAGTAAAGGCCTTGGGGCCACTCCTTCCCTCAGAGAGAGAGAGAGTGTGTTTGGGAAGGGCACAGCTCTTACAGACCTGCTTGATGACCTGCACCACCTCCTGGATATGGGAGTTGTTAATCTCTCTCTTCAACCTGTTGGGGTGATCAGAGTTTCAGAGAGGGCAGGAGGCCCCTGGGAAGAGCTGGATGAGACAAATTCTCCACAGGGTGTAGGCAACATGAGAACTGCATTGTAGAACCCTCTGTGGCTGGCATGCATCTATATGTCTGGTCTGGGAACCAGCCAGAGGGGTAAGCATGGGGACCCAAGGAGGATCTAAGGAGATATTGGGAGCCCTGAGGGCCCTTTGAGGGAAGGGCTTCCTCACTGAAACGCACTGTTCTTCAAGGCATGCATGGGAAAGTGTAGGTGGGATTCAGCTCTCCCAAGGTTTCACCTCCCTCTTTACACACTTGATTTTCCCTTAAATTCTCCTCTCTCCTCAAATAGTGGTGGCATCTGTGTTTTGCCTAAGGAGGACATTCTCTGATCAGAGGTGACGGAAGTAGAATTAACTTTCCAGAACCAGGAGACAGGCACATCTCTGGGAAGCAAGTCAGGACCCAGTTGTAGGAAGGCCCCTTCCCACCCAGTGTGGTTCCTGCTCAGCACTAGGCCTGGAGTTTGAGTCCTGCGCCTCCCCTCCAGGGCTCACCTCTCCTGAGCCATCTTGTCTGTGGTGACCTTCATCATGGCCTGGATCCGATCCAGCCTCTTGGCCTCCAGCTTTTTCTTCACCTCCTTGGTGTCACTGCAGAGAAACGGGCATCAGGAAGATGCTTCCTGCGACTTGGGCCCTCGTGGGAGGTAAGAGTCAGGTGTAGAAGGGAGGCAGTCTTACGTCTCCAAAGTCTCCTTGAGGATCTTCAGCTCTGCAGCCTGTTTCTCTCTGGCCAGCTCCATCATCTTGGTCATTTGCTGAGGGAGAGGAAGGACCGGCTAAGCTAAGACGGTGGAGATGCCCTTGGCTGTGCGGAGGGTGTGGGGTCGGTCGGGCCCTCGCTCCTTCCCCTCCCCCACGCTGGCACCTCGGCCACTTGCTGCGCCCTGCACCTCAGGACACACTCGCACTGCTCCTCGCCCTGCTGCAGCAGCTCCAGCTCCAGCCTGTCCCTCAGCTCTCGCAGACGCGCGCCCGCGCCCTCGGGGCCTTCGGCCGGCACCGCCCCGGCGGGGTCCTCGCCCGGCGGGGTCCTGCGGAGGCCATGTGGGGACAAGCCGTGAGCCCCAGGCCGCCCGCGCCCGAGCCGCGGGGGGCAGGATGCCTCCGCCGCCCTTACCTCTTTTTGCGGGAGCCTTTCCCCGGGCCGAGCTTGCGGCCCCGGACGTCGCCGCCGCCCCCAGCGCCCGGCGGCCGGAGCTCGGCCCGCTGCGCTGCGCCCCTCTGCAGCAGCTCCTCCCAGCGCCGCGCGCCGCGCCGCTCCAGCTCCCGCAGCTCCTTCTCGTGCCGCCGCTGCAGCTTCACGACGCCCTTCAGCTCCCGCAGCTCCTCCACGCTGGCGGTCCGCGGCTCTGCTGGGGCAGGCGTGAGGCGCGCGCCCCCCGGGAACCGCCCCCCACCCCGAGTCCCGGACCCTCCCCGGGCTCGACCCCAACGTGACTCGGTCTCAGCAGGCCTTACCCGCAGCTTCTTTCGTGGCCTCCTCCCTGGCCTTGGCCCCGGCTGCTGCAAGAGCCAAAGGACAGGCTCTCCGGTGCCCTCGGCTCGGCAGCTCCCGCGCCTCGGGGGCGGGGCGGTGGCGGTGTGGGCCCCCTGCTGCGCACTGCCCAGCCCGACGCTTCACTTGCAGCCGTTCCCTCCCCAGGTGAAAGTTTTTGGGGTTGTTTTTGTTTTTGTTTTTATAGAGAACTGCCGCCCGTCTGGGATGTGCCTACCGGTGCAGGGGAGAGATGGAGACCCTTCTGGTAGGTGCGGGGACCCCGCAGTGCGTACCTGCTGACCCGTTGCTCGTTGGAGCTGATGCCGCATTGACCTGGCAGGCAACTGGACTCCCGAGAGGGAAGGGATTCTGTGTAGGGAGAGCCTGTTAGGAAGGTGCCTCTCTCCCTGAGCCCTGGACTCTGCCCCCTCCCTCATCTTCCCACAGAGAGGGTGCAGCTCATGGGGGCCCCTGGCAGTGGACCTGACAACACAGACCTCAGGCAGGCCTCCCATGGCTTCCTTGAGCTTCACAGACTTCTTATCATGGGCACTGAAGAACTTGATGGGATTGGCGAGGGCCACCGTGAGATCTGGTTGCACAGGGACATGGTGGGCCTGATAAGGAGATGTACCTGGGAGCCTCCCCCATCCTCACCTACGCCAGGATACCCTGTCCTGCCCTGCTCTGGAGGCTGGCTTGCGGAGAGAGGAGGGGGGATGGACACCCTGGGGCTTCCAACATTCCAGGGGCCTCCCACCTGCCCAGGTGTCAGGTACATAGTCCTTCATCTCCAGGAAGACAAAGAGTGCAGGCATGGTGAGCGGCATGTTGCTCTCGCTGTGCAGGCACAGATGGTGGTATCCTGTGGGGCATGACCGGGTGGCCAGTGAGCCAGAGCCCACTGCTGCCCAGCACTGCTCACCAGCAGCCCAGTACTCGACACTTCTGGCTTTAGTCTGGTTCTCCCTCATGTGGTTACTGTTAGGATTAAGTGAGAAAGTGTTATAAGCCCGTAAAGCATTTTAAGTGCCCAATAAGTGTCAGCTACTTGGGAAACTGCCCCAGTAGTTTCAGAGAATTAGAGACATTGTGTTGGGTGGGCAGAGTCCCCACCTCTGTCAGTTTCCTGGAGAGGTACTATTCCTGCCCCACTTTCCCAGGCTGATAAAATGACAAGGCCACCTCCCTGAAGCTGCCACACACTCTGGACGGGATCCTGATGCTGGTCTTGGTCTCAGACCCACTGGGAACAGCAAAGAAGAACCCCTATCCTTACCAGAATTCAGGGCATTGATGGGGATTATGCGGTGTCCAAGAAACTTGTTGCCGTCCTCCATCACAGCCACCCTGAGGGAGGCCAGCTCAGGCATCAAGATCTGGGGAGAGTTCAGGACAAGACAAGCTGGAGAGGGGAGAGAGTGGCCAAGCGGCCCCCCCTTCCCTGATTCCAGAAATCTAGGGTCAGTGTGAGAACATGGCAGGCTTTACTGGATTTGGTGAGGACAGAGGGCCCACTCTAAGCCACACACAGACATCCTAACAGCTCATGTCATGGCTGGTCCATACAGGGCAGAGAGCTGGATATGCAGCCCAGGGCTCCAGGGGGCCTGGTGCAGACAGCCCTTGGAAGCTTTGTCAACAAGTATCCAATGGGAACAAAAGGCCCCCGTGATTCCTTGGGTCCCTGCACCCTGGTCTGGGAGTTCACATTTCTGCCTCTAATCGTAACATGGACAAGCATGCACATACACACATGTACACACACATACAAAACTTGCCCACAAAGTAAATTTCTGTAAACTTGGTTTTTGGACTCTTGAAACTCAGGAGGGCACAGATGAGGGGTGGGGAGAGGAGGAGGATCGAAGAAATCCCTTTATGTATTTTCTCTTCTACAAGTAGAGACCAAGAACTAGGGACAGATCCCAGCCCCTGCCCTGATCTAGCCACCCCACCTTTTCAAAGACAAAGGGCTCCTCCTTCCAGACAGGATTGATGGAATTGGTACTGGGTGACAGCTTGGTGCGATAGCGCCTCTTGGAGTCCCCAGGAAGGCCAAACAGCTCCACTTCCACATAGGTGCGCACGCTGCGTTCTGACAGGAACTGCCCAGAGATCACCTGGAGGTTGGGGCCCATGCGAGACCAGCATCAGCTCCCCCACCCAGGCCATTCCCCAGAACTTAGGGCCTCCAGCCCCCCTAGCTGAAACATCCATTCTTGGGTACTGTGAAGAGCCCCATTCAATTCTGGCCACAGAGTAGAGGCTGTGTGGCTTAAGGGTTACAGCTAAGCTGTGGCACCCAGGGTGCTTCCAGCATTTAGGGAAGAGGTGTGGGCCTCCCCACCTCCCTCCCCAGCGAGGAAGGAACAGGGCCCTCCCCCCATCCCCCGGGCCTGGGGCTCCTGCTGCCCCACTCTTTTCCCCTCCCCCACCCCAGCCTCAGCCCTTCCCCTTGGTTTCCATGGGGACCAAGAGGCAGCCTCCAGTGCTGAGGAGGAGGCAGTTTCCAAGGCAACTTGCTACTTCACGAACTGGCTGGGGCTGAAGTTTTCGGGATATCAGGGGAGGGGGTTGGGAATGGAGGAGTGGGGCTCCTGTGTCTTTCTCCTCAAGACCCCAGCCCTCCCGGCCACTTGTCCACCTCAGGGCCTTGCCGTAATGGAAAGGGTGGTGGCTACCACCACGTCGATGCGGTCCACCGAGAAGGGGTTGAACTGCTTGTCTAACCGACGCATGAACTCGTGCTTGAGGAGGTAGCCACTCTGCCCATTGAACTCAAAGAGCGCCATGTTCTGCTGCATGGGCAGGTCTGGGGGTACAAGGGGGGTCAGGAAGGGCGGCCTGGCTCTGGGTCTGCACGCAGCCTCTCTTTCCACATTTCCCAGACTTTCCCGTCTCGCAAATGGGGAGGCTGGGTGGACCGTGAGGATGAGGGTTTCTCATGTCCCAGCCTGGTTTCTTAGGGTCTCATCTCTCAGGAAGGGCCCGCAACCTGGAGTCAGCAGGAGCAAAGCCACAACCGGACCTCAAGCTCACAGTGGGAGTTGAGGCCAGTGGAACAGGTGTTCCCACAGACCCACTCAGGCCGAGCAGCCAGAACCCATGCCAGCACCCTGGCATCATCACAGACATGCTCGTATACGTGCAGTCACATAGGCATGAGCTGATGCACTAAACGCTCACACACATGCACATGCACCCAGAACCTAAATGAACATCAGCCCCCCTGCCCCCAGGTCTGTTCCAAAGACACCCCCTCCCCAGGGAAGGGGTAAAGGTGGGAGGGGCAGGGGAAGGTTCTTAAGGGCCTGAGCATGCCCTCACCCATCGTCTGGAAGTTGAGGGCAACCATCTGGCAACCAGCATTCCAGAACATCTGGGGCATGTAGTTGGAGGAGTCCATGCGGGTGCCCTTGGGGTAGATGCGGCTCATCTGGCGCTTGTTGTAGCTGCCGCAGGGTATAGGAGCCAGCAAAGCCACCTGCACTGGGAAGACCCACAGACCCCCTGCGAGCCCCGTCCCAGGCCTCCCCCTTCCCTCCACCCCACCAGGGACCCTGGCTAGTGAGGTCTCAAGGATACTCCACAAACTGCACTGAGGACTTGGAGAGCAGGTCGTAAGCCTTGAGCTCCGTGAAGGAGGAAATGACATAACTTCGGTTCTTCTCTGTGTAGGGGAGAAAGAGGAAGGAGAGTCCGCGTCAGCCTGTCCCCTCCCACAGACTTGCCCTCCCCTGTGGCGCGGCTCCCTCCAGCATAGAGATGCCTCCAACCTAGCGTTTCCACCGAGGGCTGAGGGTTGAGGGGCCACCCCTGGGGTGGGGAATGTGCAGATCTGTGTGGGTAGCAGTGTGTGCTGGAGGTAAAGGGTACGCACAGTGGATACACACGCACAGGGATGGGGTGTGCGTGCCAGAGTCCTAAAAAGTGGGGTACATGCCCTGGGTGGACGCGGAGGGTGTGGGAAACACGCAGCGATGAGCCCGGGGGGTCAGGAACACGCTGTGATGCGCAGGGAGCAGGGTGCAGGGGTGAGAGGCACACAGCAAGGGTGGTGCACAGGAGGGGGTGCAGGCTGGGGCTTCAGGGATGACGAGCCAGTGCTGCAGAGTGCATGCAGAAAAAGGTGTTCGTGTTGGGGCTGTGCACAGAGGGTGAGGGGAACTCATTGCGCGCATGTCCAGAGAAGATAAAGGTAAACAGCGTGGATGCGCTCAGAAAGGGAAGGGAACAAGGGGCAGATGTGTGCTGGCTGGTTCCTTTGCCTTCCTCCCCCTCCCAGGAGTTCTCGTGCCCAGGCAGCCACAGAAGGAAGCTGGAGGAGCCCCAGGCCACCCAGCCATGGTGGCCCTTGGTAAGTGACCTGCCTGTCACCGACACACTCCAGAGCATTCTGCTTGGTGCCAAGTTCTCAGTACGGTGATGGGACACTGGGAGCCACTGCCACTTAAACATGCCTTTGCCTGGCTCCTCTGCTGGGTATTTATAAACAGGGCCCCCAGCCCAAGGAGAGGGAGGACCCGCCTCGCTCTCACCCCCACCCATCAGGCTGCTCTGGCGTCAGGACACGCTTCCTAAGGGCCTTCTCCCGAATCTAGCCTAACTTCCAGCTTACCACCACCACATGCTAACTCACGGGCAGAGGACTCGAAGGAGATGAACTTGGTGGGTTGGACGTAGTTGACTAGGCTGGACATCTCCTTGTAAGCCGTCACCTCCAGGCCCGCTGTGCCCTAGGGAGAAGGGGGGAGGATGGGGAAGAGGCCAGCTCAGAGCCCAGGGGCCAGATCCCACGCCCCTGCCTGGAGGGCTCTGCAGTGGAGCTGGCAGAAGGGCCTCGGGGCTCCCCACACACCTCATCTGACTGCATCTCCTTCATCCCTTCTTCATCCAGGCTTCCCGACTCCTCCTCTTCCTCTTCCACCTCCTCCTCCTCCAGCTCGGCCCCTTCCTCACCAGCCCACACTGCCACATACAGCTCCATCAGCACTCGGGGCGGGGGAGACCCCAGCACCAGGCTGGCTCTCCCCTGCAGGCCCAGCCCCTCTCTCCCATTCCAGAAGCTCCTCCTCGGCCACCCCCACTCCTCCCAGGCCCCCTCACCTGTGTCCTCACCCACAGGGACATTGGGTGGGCCGCTCCCCTCAGCCTCCCCACCCGGCTCCTGGCTGGGGGCTGGGGGACCAGAAAACTGCTTCTTCTTGTTCTTGATGAGGATCTTGCCTCGGAGATCCTCAGGGCTGGGCAGGGGGATGCCTGGTTTCAGCTGTGGGAGAGGAGAGAGGGTCCTCAGCACTATCTCCTCACCTTCAGGGAGTAGCCCAAGCTCCTGCATGGCAAGCTACGCTCCACCTGCCCCCCGCCGAACTCTCCAGCCTCTCCTCTCATCACTCCCACCTCGTGCGCTAAACCCCTGCCTGACCCAACTTATCCCAGCTCCTCAGTGATCTTTTCTCAACTACTCAGCCTGCCTAGAACACCCTTCCCCACTCTCAACAAGATAAATCCATTCTTTCCCTCAGGTTTCAGCTTAGCCATCACCTCCTCCAGGAAGCCTTCCCTGATCCTCAAGACCAGATCTGGAGCCCCAGGTGCTCTCATAGCAGCCACTGGTTGTAATGGCCTGGTCACTTGTCTGCCTCCTGACTAGAGGGTAAGTGATCTGAAGGCTGGGACTTCCCCTCTGCTACTGACATACGCCCCCCAAGCCCAGCACAGTGCCTGACACGTGGTAGATGATAGGACCCCAGCCCCACGTCCTCCCAAATAAACCCCAGCATCCTCTGGGGACATCTGCCTCCTTAATCTGGCACCCTGCCCTGGCTCCCCAGCCCTCAGACCCAGATGCCCCACAGTGAAGTCCACTCACTGGAAACTTTTCCAGTGGCTCTGTGAGCAGCATATCCCCAAATATCGTTCGGCAGTACTCGGCCATCTTAGCCTGTTGGCGGGGTCTGCAGGGAGCAGAAGTGGGGGTGGTTCAGCAGCTCCACTCCACCCTCTTGTCCATCTTTTTGTGCCCCGTGATGACCCAGATCAGGGGCTCAAGATGTTGGGGAGGCAGGGACACAGGCAGGAGAGCCTGGGGTCCCAAGGAGATTGTGTTGAGACCCAGGAGAGAGCCAGAAGGCACGGCTAGAGGCTGGGGCCAGTTGTGGGGAGGGCAGCTGCAGGCGGGAGATGGGGACAGGGTAGAGAATGAGGCTGGATGGCCTGGATACGCACGAGTCCACGTGGTTTTCAAACGACAGGATGACCGGATAAGGGGAGGTCTTAAAGGCACTTTCTGCAATAGCTTCAATTGCTTCCTGGAGGAGAAGGGGACCCCATGGGGAGGTCAGTGCTGTGCCTCCAGGCTTTGCCTCCCTCAACGGCATCCCTCCCCACTCCCCAGTTTCAACACACACATAGAATTGGAGGCACTCTTGGCCCTGTGTCTCTTCTGGTCCTCTCTAGTGCCCACACTGGTCCAAGGCCTCCCAGCCATCCCTCCTCTCTGGCCTCACTCCCCCCAACCCCAAAAAGCTCATGGCCCAGGGCCCTTCCCTAGCGCCACTGCCACCAGCCTCCACATGACGAGTCTCACCTTGAAATAGATGTCTGTGGTCATGGTGAAGCCGTGGGTGATGATGGGCTCCTCGTCAGGGGGCTTCCCCTTCCAGCAGTCCAGCTCCACGCAGCGGCAGCCCGCCAGCAGCACCTGGCGGTACATCTCGGCAGAGGAAAGGCCTGAGAACTGGCCGGCTGAGCCAGAGGAGGGGCGAGGGGCGGGGGCTTCACTCAAGGGCGGTCCAGGTCTGCCCCGCCCCACTCCATCGTGGGCAGCCCGTGGGGATTCAGGGAGCAGGAACAGCCCCCGTAAAAGGAGGGGTCGGCAGTGAGGTCGCCAGGGCCCACCTGTCAGGTAGGTGTTGTGGGAGGAGTTGATGAAGTAATGGTTGAGCGGCTGCGTCATGTCGTGGTGCAGCAGCAGCTTGTCCTGGGCCAGCACGCTGTTCTCTGGTCCGCAGAGGAACCATACCATGCCCTCGGGGGACAGCTGGCCTGGGGGACAGGGGTGGTTGTCAGGGCAGCAGCCCAGCTGCCAGGACCGGAGAGGACCGTGGAGGGTCACAAGTTCCCTTAGTCCTCACCCCTCTGCACGTTGATGCCTCTGGGCTCGTACTTGTCGATGAGGCCCTGCACCTGGTCAGGCCGCGCAAGCGGGAACAGCAGGGAGTTGAGCCTGGAGTCGCGCTGTTTCTGGTTGATGAATTTGGCCAGGTGCTCCTTAGTCATGTAGGGTTTGGCCTTGGCATGGCTGCAGGCCAAAGAGAGGAGCACAGGTCTCCTCTATATCCCCTGGGCTGGGGGCGGGGGTGTGTGTGGTGGGAACTGGGACAACCCCCTTCTCCAGCGATGCTACCTAATTGTCAGCATGGTAGGTGGGAATTTTAGCCACCACCCCTTCCCCAAGACCAGCCCAGCCCAAGAAGCTCACTAGGAAGTGAAGATCTCATCTATTTCTGGCCGAGGACAAAGGCTCATGAGGAAACTCTTGTAGACGGATTCTGGGAAGTCCTCGGGATTGATGGCATCATTCTGGGGGGATAGAGAGTCACCTGATGACTCCTGCCCCCACCTTCCAGCACTAAGAACCACAGACCAGGCCCAGCCCTGCGCGAGGCGGTCTGGGGAAAGGGAGGGCTCAGGGCAGACAGAAGAAGAACATCAAGGGCACCCTGAGCCCCCACTTTTCAAGGCCCTGGTTGCTGAGCAGAGAGCATCTTAGCTGGTTTGCTTTGCCCCTGGATTGATACTGGCTAGTCTCTTGGCTGGGACAGGATTCAAACTAAGAATGACCAGAACTGGGAAGAAAAGAGCTCAGAAGCAAGCTACTTAGGCTGTTTGCCAGAGCTGTGAGCTATCTTTTTCTTTTTAAATGGAGGATAAATTTTCAAAAAGAAGCAATTTGCATACAAACAATGCACCTAACAACAGAACCCCAAGATGCACGAAGCAAACTGACAAAGTTGAAGGGAGAAATAGACAATTCAACAATAGTTGGAGACACCAAAAAGCACAAGGAACGATAACAAAAAATAGACAGATTGGACTTCATCCAAATTAAAAATTTTGGTGTTCCAAAGGATACTGTCAATAAAGTAAAAAGAATGGGAGAAAATATTTGCAAATCAGATATCCAGTAGTAGACGACTTCACACTAAAAGAAAACCCAACTGAAAGATGGGCAATGAACTTGAATAGATATCTCTCCGAAGAAGATATGCAAATGACCAATAAGCACATGAAGAGATGCTCAGCATCATTAGTCGTTAGGGAAATGCAAATCAAACCCACAATGAGGGGAATTCCCTGGCTGTCCAGTGGTTAGGACTCTGAACTTCCACTGTAGGGGGCACGGGTTTGATCCCTTGTTGGGGGACTAAGATCCTGCAAGACGGGTGGCGTGGCCAAAATAAATAAATAAATAACATAAAACCACAATGAGATACCACATCACGCTCACAGGATGACTAAAGTAAAAAAAAGAAAAAAAAAAGACAGACAATAACAAGTGTTGATGAAGATGTGGAGAAATTGGAACCCTCATACAATGCTGGTGGGATTGTAAAATGGTAGAGTCATTTTGGAAAACAGTGTGGAATTTCCTCAAAATGTTAAGTATACAGTCACCATATGACAGAAGAATTCCACCCCTAGGTATGTCCTCAAGTGACTTGAAAACATACGTCCGGACAGAATCGTTCATAGCAGCATTATTCATGATAGCCCCAAAGTGGAAACAACCCAAATGTCCATCAACTGTTGAACAGTTAAACAAAATGTGGTATATCCACACAATGGAATAGTATTCCACAATAAAAAGGAATGAACTACTGATACATGATACAACATGGATGAAGCTTGAAAACACTGTGCTAAATGAATGAAGCCTGACATCATATTGTATGATTCCATTTACATGATATGTCCAGAATAGACAAATCCATAGAAACAGAAACAGAAAGTAGATTTAGTGGCATTCAGGGTTTCTGTGCCTTTGTATTCCATTCCAGAAAAACCCATCAAATGTTTTCCAGGATCATTCTGAAAAGCCAACATCAGTCTTAGTTTGGAGCAGAGGCTCTGAGCAGGATAGCTAGACCGCATCTTGGACCCATCAGCTGCAAGCAAAGATGGCTCAACGGCTCCTACCGGGATGCAGGAGAGCTGATAAATAAGGAGGACTTAGCCAAGGTGGGAACTCGGGAGGCAGGAGAGAAGGAGGGTGGATGTGACAGCCCAAGTGGTGCCCTCAGCAGGAGCCCATTCCCACCCCTTCCCCAACCCCAAGCTTGCATCACCTGTGACTCATTGCACCAAGGGGTCACCAGCTCCGTAGAGTTGAGTGTGGTGGAAGTATTCCTTCTGAGATTCATGTGGACAAGTGATCTATGTGGCCTTAGTTTTATTTATTTATAACATTCCAAATTCTTACCAGGAGAAAAGACTCCATGGAATCCACAAAGGCACTGGCCAAGGGAGGACAGGGGCCTGAGATCTACCCCCGCCAGGCAGGAACCCTGGCTCAGGGCTGCATCTGCCCAGAGGGCTCCTTTTTGTAAGTCACATAAGGCATCTCATGGGGTGACCCAGCATACAACTTGTAATTAAAAATTACTTAAGCAAAAAGAAAGGAAAAATGTTTTCCTATTGGAGCTGAAGGGGTATAGACCAACCTGCTCTGAACCCGGGCACCTCAACCCCCTGCCCTGGTTCTGTCACTGTGCCTTGTATCAGGAACCGGTGGCTCTAGAGTGAACTGACTTTTCGGGCTGTTGGCTGGGACTGAACTGTCATTCCTGCCCTCCCCATCCCCACCAGGCCTGCCCAGGGTGCCCTCCAGTCCAAGGCAACTCAGATGATAAAGAGAATGCTGGGCGTGGGCTGGAGAAGGGGGAACCACTCACCTTGCCTTTTGGGAGGTGGCAGGCGCTGAGGGCAGCTTCCACCCGCTTGCGGTCAGCAGG